ACAACTCAAAAATAAGAAGACAACCTAATTTTTAAAAATGGGCAAGAGTTGAATAGGCATTTCACAAAAGAAGATATTCAAACGGCCAAAAAACACATGAAAAGATGCTTAATATTATTAGTTATCAGGGAAATGCAAATTAAAACCACAATTAGATACCACTGCATACCCAATAGAATGGCTAAATTTTTTTCTATTGACAATACCAAGTGTTGTCAAGGATGTAGAGCAACTGGAATTCTCATATGCTGCTAGTGGAAGTGTAAAATGGTAAACCACTTCGAAAAACAGTTGGGTAGTTTTTGAAAAGGTAAACATACATTTGCCGTATAACTTAGCAATTCCATTCCTGAGTATTTACCCAACAGAAATAAAAACACGTGTTCACACAAAGACTTGTACTTGAACTTTCATTTCAGCTTTATTCGTAGTAGTCAAGACTAGAAACAACCTTAAATTCCTTAATTTGTAAGGAACGTAAGGGAAATTGTTTTTTACATTCATCAACTGGTGTATGGAGAAATTGTGGAATATCCATAAAATGGAATACTACTCAGCAAAAAAAAAAAAAAAAAGGAATGTAAGACATACTGATACACCCAACAATGTGGATGAATCTCAAAAATGTCAGACTGAGCAAAAGAAGCCAGAAACAAAAGCGTACCTACCATGTGATTCCATTTACATGAAATTGTAGAAAAGGTAAAACTAAAGTGGCAGAAACAAATCAATGGTTGGTAATGTCAAAATGACTCGGTAGCCAACTTTAATTTCACTGACCAAAGGATGGGGCCATCTGATGATCAATAAACTTCATGATTACAATGGGTTGAAACATACCAAATACATGTATTTAAATTCATAAGTTCTTAATGAGACTAAAGCATACACACTTTTTTTGTTTGTTTGTTTTTTTAACTAAGAATATGACAAATTAACAATTGTTAGTCCGGAAACAAAAATGTTGGTATAATATGTTCTTTACTATATTTCTAAAAATATCTCAGTCTGATCCCAAGGATCTTAAAATTGAGGCACATGAAAATGACTACGTTAATTTGTAAGGAATGTAAGTGACATTGTTTTTTCTGCTGAAACATTGGTGAAGTTTGTTTTAACAGTAAAAAAATTCTCAAAGTTTTTTTTTGTGTAAGCCATCTGATCTTGTATTCTACCCACAGAAATTCACTGAATTCACACCTCTTCCATTCTCAGTTCATATAGGTTTTTACCTTCCCTTTTTTCATATTTGAAATGCCAGGCCCTCTGAAATCTTCTACTTTCATTACAGTGCCAAGTGTTGTTGTTAGCTGTCGTCCATGTACAACGAAACAAAATGCATCCCAGTTCTGTGCCATCAGTTGTGGATCAGGCAATTGTGATCCAGAAGGGTTTCATTGGTTGATTTTGGGAAGTAGATTGCCAGGCCTTTCTTCCTAGTCTTAGTCTAGAAGCTCCACTGAAACCTCTTTAGCATCATAGCAACACACAAGTCTCCACTGACAGATGAATGATGGCTGTGTATGAGGTACACTGGTTGGGATTTTAACCCGGTCTCCCACATGGAAAGTGAGAATTCTACCACTGAACCCAGTCCCAAGTAGTTTCCTCAATTCCAGGCCACTTGAGTGGTATTTTAACAGTTTTCTCGTTCATCCAATGTACACAGACCTTGTACCATAAGTATTCTCCAAGTCCGAGGTTTCTAGCTGATGAAGTTTACTCTAGCCCGTTTGAGGACTCCAATCACTCCACAGACATTTTGTCATGGTTTTTATATTTTCTCCCTTTTACATTGGTGTTTAGTCCCAAAGAAAACCAGGCTAAAGAATCTGGATGGATTCATAAAACCAGTTGTTACTAATGGAAAAACAACTTAAAGGGCAAGATCTCCAGATAGTTTTCAGTCAATTCATCTTATAGTCATAAAACAATTATTTTTATGTATCACCAACTAGGACTAGATGGAAAACAGAGACTCTGAAAGGGGGAGGAAGAGCTTTTTGTGTGGGAAGTTAGAGCAAACAGGGTGTGTGAAGGGTGTGCATGCCACCAGAGTTATGTTCATACATGCAACTGAGGGGAAGGGGGGAAGTTCAGAGATAGAAAGGACCTTAGCAATCATTTAGTCCAACTTTTCTTACAGACTAAGAAACAAAGGCTTGAAGAAGTTAAATGAACAGTAGCACTTATATAAAAACCTGGGGCGCCCTAAAGCCTGGCCTAGAACCCTTTCCACTATCCATCCTGCCTTTTTTTTTAATGAATTATATAGAAAGCTAACACAGATAAACTCAGGACATAAGCGCTTAATAAATTTCTGGGTTCAGTGACTTTGACATTTTGCCAAAACACTAAAAACTGTGTGAGTTATAAATGCATGTAAATATCTGCAAAGGCTAGTTTAACAAAGGAGCCCTGGTGGTGCAGCAGGTAAGCTGCTGATCAAAAGGTTGGTGGTTCAAACCCACCTGCCACTTCCTGAAAGATGTAGCAGTCTGGCAGTCTGCTTTCATAAAGATTACAGCCTTGGAAACCCTATGGAGCAGTTCTTCTCCGTCCTATCGTGTCACTACGAGTCGGCATCAACCCAACTGTGAGTTTGTTGCTGTTGTTTGTAGTTTAATGAGGTCTAAGCTGGTGGTGCAGTGGTTAAGTGTTTGGCTGCTAACCAAAAGGTCTGCAGTTCAAATCTACCAGCCAATGCTTGGAAACCCTATGGGGCAGTTCTACTCTGTCCTATAGGGTCACTATGAATGGGAATGGACTCCAGGCAATGTTTTTTTTTTTTTCCCCAAGTTCCTGGGAGCTCTGGCAGTAAGAGTCCCTGAGTGGTGCAAATGGTTAATGTGCTCAGTTGCCAACCGAAAAGTTGGAAGTTCAGTCCACCCAGGAGGCTCCTTTGAAAAAAAACCAAAAAAAAACAAACCCACTGCCATGGGTGGAGTCGATTCCCACTCATAGTGACCCCACAGCGTTTCCAAGGCTGTAAAATTCTAGGCGAGTAGACTGCCTCTTCTTTCTCTTGTGAGCTGCTGGTGGTTTATGAACCACCAAACTTTCAGTTAGCAATCACTTTAACCACTGCACCACCAGGGCTTCTTTCTTTGAAGAAAGGCTTGGTTATTTACTTCCAAAAAAAAAAAAATCAGCCATTGAAAACCCTGTGCAGCACCATTCAACTCTGACAGATACGGGATCGCTATGAGTCAGAATTGAATTAACAACAACCGATTTTTTTTTTTAAGTATTTTCTAGAGGCATACCTCTTTGTTTACATTTCTTAATTTAAAAGTTGGAAACAAGAAAACAGAGAGAGGCCATGGGTCCCACACAAGCACAAATTCAACCCTTGATCATTCAGTCATCATCCAACAGTATTTAATTGGTGTCTGCTGTGGATCAAGCTTCTCACCAGGTGTTGGAAATCCACAGAATAAAGTCCCTGCTCTCTCGGGGCTCTCAGTATATAGCAGGGAAGACGGTGTATTAAACAAATAATTACATTAAAGTGTAGAGTTGAGTGCTAAAATTGGGGAAGTGCACAGTTATATAGATTTATCCCTGGCAAATAATTCAAGCTGTTTCTCTTCTGTTGTCAATATATTTCTTGGCTGCCTCTTTATACTATCATTTGAGTTCCCCAAACACAAATTCTTTTCAATAAAACACTTCAAACAACAATCATTGACTGAGCCTCTACTCGTGTCCATATTGTGTGAATATCTGCAAGAGAATTCCAAAGTAAATTAGCAATGTAAAAATTACTTTATATGAAGACAAAATTATTTTGGATTATATATGCCTGAGATAATACACGGAGATAATACATATTTACCACTTGGCAACACAGGTGGTCTGAAAAATAATTAGTATATCATCTTAAAACCTTACTAAACCAAACCCACTGCCTCGAGTCCATTCTGACTCATAGGGACCTTGTACGACAGAGTAGAACTGCCCTACAGGGTTTCCAAGGCTGTAAATCTTTACAAAGCAGATTGCCACATCTTTCTCCAAGGAGCAGCTGGTGGGTTCAAAACCCCGACCTTTCGGTTAGCAAACGAGCACTTTAACTACTGCGCCACCAGGACTCCTTTCTTAAAACCTTAGGCTCCCCGGATTTTACGGTAGTCTTGCCATGTTTTGTCAGCAAAATCAAAATCCCCTGTTCCAGTTTTAGAGCTCTGGAAGGTTCTACCTATTCCCCGGCATAGGTCTGAAAGAATCCTATTCATTCTTTAAGGGCCAGTTCCGGGTCCTGCTCCACCAAACCGTTCCATACTGTAAGCCTGCATCTTTCGCCCCTCCTCTCTACTCTTTCATAGTGTCGCTACGGGTAGAAATATGCTCGCTGGCTGTGAGTTTTTTCTTTACTCTTACAGCTCCTACATATATCTAGCATTTAGCATATATAATCTTTTCAATATTGCCTTTATATATGCATGTCTTCCCTTAAAGTGGATGGATCTTTAAGGAAAAGACTGTGACTCGCTTTCTCCCTATGATATCACCTTAAGAGGCGGTCACCAAAAATCCGTACATTCATCATAGATACAGAAGTCCCACTCATTAATGTAGGGACTGTCTTATTAACCTTGGGGGCCTAGTTCCCTCCCTCTTTCAGTAGTCTGGTTTATTCCATGGGGTGGAGAAGGAAGCCAGGTTGGCTGGGTGGAAAGGGAATGGCGTCAGTGTGAGGTCACGCTACATTGTCCCGAATGCCATCTCCACACTGAGGTGACATTAACGCAGGATTGAAGGATGCAGCTGGAGGAAAGATAGAAGCCCATCCAACTTATGCAGACTACGTGCAAAAAGAGCGCAGAATAGAGAACAAAGCAGGGAACCTCGCGGGGCGTGGCAGGACACCTGGGCGTCAGCAGCGAGCTCGCGCAGAGAGTGAAAGTGGGGAGCGAAGAGCCACTCAAAGGCTGAGCAGGATGGGGGCGGGACTTCCGGAGGCCATTTGCCTGAGTGGCAGGGGAACCGGAAGTGGAGGCTCTGCTGCTGGGGCCGGAGGAGGGACGCGCCGGAGCGGGGCCGCCGGGACTGAGCGAGCGACAGACGCGCCACCCGCCGACGCCGCAGCCGCTTGGGGCCCGCACGGACCCTCTACTTGAGTGAGTGCATCCAGCATCTCGGAGAACCCGTGACTTATAGGTGGGGGTTGGAAGGGGCTGCGATTTGTTACTGTGAGAAGCGCGCGATCTCCCCTCCCCCACCGCCCGGGCCCCTCCCCCCAGCGCCACCACTTCCCCGCCGGGTCCTTGGGGGGCCTAGCGCGCGCGCGCCTTCTTCGCTGGCCCGGCGTTGATTCTCCAGCCGCCTGCGCCGCTCCCGGGCCTCCAGGCCGCTGGCTGTCCCTCTAGAACCTTTTTTCCCAGCACCCCACCCCCAAACCTGTCGACTTTCCTCTGCCGGTAGCCTGTTCTTCAACCCCGCCTTTTCCAGTGGAGGAATATCGTGGCGGGGCGGACCTCCCTTCCGTTACACACCTCCTGGAGTAGGCCTCCCTGCACCCCCAACTCCCTTCGGCCGTTCGCTCCAGCCTGCACCGTTTGTAGCAACTCTTCTTGCCTCCAAATCTCAGCTGTTGCCTTTTGCCTCCATCCCTGAGGTTGAACCTCTGACCCTTCTCTCCCTTTTCCTCTTGTCGGAGAGGCCAGTAACGTGGGCCAAAACCAGTTACTCTGCTGTTTTTTACCGGGCACTTCTTCCTGCTCCTCTTGTTGAAAATTTTCAACTCTTTAGAAACTTCTCCGTTTCCTTCTCTAATGTTTTCAGAAGATCCATAGACTGTCAAGACTCAGAAGCGGTTATTTCTTAGAGAGCTATCCAATCCAGCACCTCAGATGAGGCTCAGAGAGGTTGGTGATTTGCCCAAGGTCATCCAGCTAGTTCACCTGCCAGTGGATAGGTTTTTTTTAGGTGGTTTTCTCCTTGTCCACCTCAGGGCCTTCTGGTCTACAGGTTGGTGATTGACCAGTTGCATGATGATTCCCTGCTCTTTACCTCTGCCTTTCCACAGCTGTCAGGCCAGCTTGGCTTTCAGAATTTATATACAAATCTTAAGAAAACAAACACTTGCAGCTTTGGCCTCTTTTTTAGAGCTTACCCATGGAGAAAGGGAAGATCACCTGGACCCACCCTAGGACCTCATTTTGAACAGCTTTAAATGTAGGGAGTTTGGGTGATAGGTAAAGGTGTGGAAAAAAATGAAAGAAAAAACAATTATCTGTGTCGAGCATTTGAATATGCCTTTGCCTATGATATAAAAAACAAAAAACCCTTGCCGTTGGGTTGATTCCAACTCACAGTGACCGTATAGGACAAAGTAGAACTGACCCATAGGGTTTCTTAGGATATACCTTGTGTATTTAGGTTCTTTTGGATACATAAAGGTTACTTCTTGCAGGGGAGGCAAAGGAAATAATTGTGCTTTAATTTCTTGGCTTGGGCATTTTATAATAAATTATGAATGTGCTGGAACCCGGGGACCCACCCACCAGCCCACTGAGACAGGGTATTTGGGGACCCACCCACCAGCCCACGGAGACAGGGTATTCAGGATGAAGCCTGCCTTCCCCTTCAGATTAACCCTTCTAAATCTTTTAATTTTTAGTGCAGGTTTTCCCCTCCATTTCCTGGTTCAAACTAAACAAACATCCAGCTCAGTTTGAGAATTTATAATTCTTTGTTGTTGAAAATGGCTTCTGATTAGGTACTCTGCACCATGCTAGTATTGGCATCTAGGAATTTTAGTATTACACTGTTAATAGTCCAAGTAGAGAAGATAGAAAATGCAGGGAAATTGGGAATTAAGAATCTGAAGCAATCCTGTTGGGTGCCATCTCTGCTGAATAATGTACAAGTGGCTTACTTCTCATCTTCCCAGAGAACTCATTTTAATGAACAGTTAAAGCTTCCCTGAAATGTAGGTAAATTAACAAAACTTTTGTTCTTTGGATCTTTTATCTCCATTCTGCTCAGTATTTCAAACTGAACCTGCTTTTTGTGATGTCTGTCAGAAGGTAATGACTTGCTGCACCGTGAGATTATTATGAATCAGTAAAATGAGATAAGAGTCAAATTCCTCTCTGTTGGTATCTGTTTTTTTTTTTTTTTTTAATTATTTTTTAATTGCTGGTTACAGCTTCTCCATTCAGAAGATTGCTATATTAGAAATATTGCCTTCTACCTGAGGCAGGAAACCCTAAAGCCACTCAACATTTTGGTGGCCTGGCAGACTGCTCTCTGGGTAGCTCCTGATTCATTCTTCATTTTCATTATAAAGAATATAATAATTTATCTAACTTCCACATTATTTGAATCCTCTAAACGCATAGTCTCTGGGTTGTGCGTTTCCAACCTAGTTTTTAAAGATGGCACGCGTTTGTGGCTCAATTTTTCTTTCCCTTCTGTTTGAAAATGTTACCAAACCATAGACATCAGTAAAACTGTGAAAGCTACTTTGTATTGTAAGATTTTCATTTGGCAAAATAATACAAAATCCAGCTGTCTGAAGGCACAAAGAAACAAGCTTTCACTCAGATGCTTTGCCCTTGTAGAAAAGGAAGAAGGAAGACCTTGTATTTGCAGTTAAGGGGGAAAAAAAGAAAAGACTAGCTAATTGGGAATATTTTGCCATCTCCCAATTCTACCAACCTTGTAGCCTCAGACGAGTATATTTTGTTCCTACTGTTTCTGTCCAAATAGCTTTTGTTATTTTGCCCATGAAAAAATTTAGGACCGAGATGGAAGTATTTTGCTCTGAGTATCAGAATGCTGCTAAATTTCAGTGGTAGTAATGGAAAATATAAGCTAATCAACTTAATAAGTTAGAATGTATCACTTTCATATAGCCTTTTCTATATAAAACCTAACATCCTTTGCTGAAGAGTAAATATTTATTGAATATTAAATGGAAGATGTAGAATTAACATGGGAGGATGGAAAGTAAATAGGCTTTGGAAGTATATAGCACTGAGCTCACATCCCAGCTCTCCTTACCAGCTCTGCTATCATGGAGGAGGCCCCTCAAATCTCTCTGAGCTTCAGTTTTATTTTATAACAAAGCTCCTAACACAAAGTCTTGTAAATATTAAGTTATTAATAAATACCAATTGCAGTTATTATTTTAGATCAGTTTACCTATTGGTTGAATTCTGAAAATCTGTGTCTGTAAATTGAATGATAAAGAGATCTTAAAAGTTTATCTAGACCATTGTTCTAGAAAGTGGAGCGTACGCACCCATGGGATGCATAAGACGATCAGTGGAATACCAGGAAAAATTGAGAACTTTTTACATTTATTTTTTAATCTAAAAAGAGGAAAATATTAAATTTACTAATATTAATATACAGATTAACAGCAATTTGTATATGTATAAATAAATATACATTTCTTGGGGATACATATTCAGAAAGATTCTACTGATGGAAAGCACAACCAAAAATGTTTGGAGCCCACTAATCTGGACTAGCCTGTGTTCATATACTTTAGTTCATTTTATGCTTTCCTGTGACATGTTCACCTAGCCTCTTCCTAAATCTCCATTGAGAAATCTACCTTCTGGGACAGGCCATTTCATTTTGTACTCAGATTTGTTAGAAGTTTATCTCACTATACATTCTATCCACTGGCCCTGTCTTTCTTCTTGGGGAAATGCAGAATAAGCCTAATATCCCTTTCTTGTAATCTTCAAATTTCTTAAGACACTGTTTATGTCCTGTGCCTTCCTCTTCCCAAACCAGTTTTTCTACAAATTATAAACATACTCATTTTCTTAGAACTGTTTACACTGTGACAAATTTACAAATTCCTCACCATCTTGGCTCTTTTCCGTAGACACCCTCTAGTTTCACAAAATTGTTGTAAGTTTTTCACCAAGATGTAAACATGGTATTCCAAGTGCTGAAATGAAATTGACATTGAAGCCCCTGCATTTTCTGTTTTAGTGATGAGGGAAGTAGATTAGTACATATTATTATAAAAAAACAAACCAAAAACCTGTTGCTGTCAAGTTAATTTCAACTCATAGCCACCCTGTAGGCAGACTAGAACTGCCCTGTAGGGTGTCCATGGAGCAACGGGTGGATTCAAACTGCTGACCTTTTGGTTAGCAGCCAAGCTCTTAACCACTGTGCCACCAGGGCCCCGTGTGTATCTGTCTGTCTATTTCTCTCCCTCGCTCGCTCGCTCAACTACTAGTTGAAAGGTTTGTAGTTTGAAAGGTGCCTCTGAAGACGGTCTTACCAGTCTGCTTCCAAAAGGTCACAGTCTTGAAAACCCTATGGAGCAGTTCTACTCTGCACACATGGGGTCGCCATAAATTGGAATCAACTCAACAGCAACAGCAATTTTTTTTAAAACCTAGTATTATTAGGGCTGAGCTCATTTGTTTGCTTCTGTAATTTGTTTGTTTTTTGTGAATGAAGGCATGCTTTCATGTTAGGGCTTGGTATTTTCTGATTCTGAAAAACTACCACATTGGCAGCCCCGTGTTTTTGCATACTCAGTAAATAGATATTGAATGAATGTAATTCAGTTCTTTTTCAGAGAAAGCTTAGCTGTATTTGAAGTTGGCAAGGGAAGGAAAAATAGATGGCTCACAAAGAATATGGCCTCCTTTTCTATAAGCCACTATGAGGATAATAACAAATCAGCATAAATCCAAATCTCCACTTCTTCATTTCTCTGACACCACTTGCAACAGGCAGCACTTCTCTCTCTGATTATAACCACCTGGAGCTAGGTCATACCTCACAAGTTAAAAGAACATTGTCCCTCAGGCTGCCAGCTGCAAGTTTGGGGGCTCCCAGGAGCTCCCCTCAAATCTGACCTACTGGCTATAAGTTTGGGGGTTTCCTCTACCCCTTCAGGATACCAGCCACAAGCTTGGGGGTCCTCAGCCTCCTTACTTCAGACCTGCTGGCTCCCGCTTTAAATTCACTGGAACGACTCACAGAACTCACAGAATGCGCTATACTTAAGATTACAGCTTTATTATAAAGGATACAAACCAGGGTCAGCATAAACAAGAGACACTCAGGGCGATGTCTGGGACGGTTCCCAACATGGAGGTTCCATGTCCCAAAGGGATCTTGGCATCCTCTTGAGAGCAGGTGTTTTCGCCAACTAGGAAGCTCATGGAGCTTCAATGTCCAGAGCTTTTATTTGGGGTCTCATTAAATAAAGCAAACTCCAGCCCCTCTTTCCTCTGGTTGGCTGATATTACAAGGTACTATGTGGTGGGTCTTTTCTGGCCCAACGAGACCCGACCCAAGTCACCTCATCACCTCATCTAACCTATTAGGTATGCTCTGGAGTCCTAAGGTTTTTGATTTTTTTTTTGTTTTAAGAGATCATCTCTTAGAAACTGAGGGTAAAGATCAAATTTTTTGAGTAAAATTAACGTAAGCCCTACAGCCACAAAACCCCAGATTTTTCTCTTTTCATCATCCTTTGTATTTGTCAAGTGACCTCTTAACGTCTCTAGCACCTTCTCCAGAATTGATCAAAATAGTCTGGTTTCTTACTTGTTTTCTAGAAGATCAGCATTTCTTATTTTCCTGAATTTCAATTATTCCTCCTTCACCTCCATCAGATGCCATATTTAGGTTATTGTTAATAAAATTTTCTTAGTGAAGACCTGTCAAAAAACACTTACTAAACATTTGTCAAAAACCAGTGCCAAAGCCTATGGCTAGTTTTATCATAATCTGTTGTATTGTGATATTCAGTAGCCAGTGGTTTCCAGTCCATGCTGTAGTAACTCTTAAGTGTGTAACTCTAGCACCCTAAGCAGCTCTGATGTAGGGTTCATTGAACTATAAGTGTCATTTGGCACATAACATTTTTATAGTCCTGAAAAATTAATGTAGGTGCAAAACATGCTTGGAGCAGTTTTTTTTTTTTTTTTTAATGTAGTGCATTGTTCCTAAATGATATTTAAACCTATCTGGAAGTCTAGTGATGCTGGATCTTTGTGAGACTTAAGCAGCCCTGGCCTGGAACTCTTCCTTGCTGAAAATAAACCCTAGTGCTTAATTTCTTGAAAAAGCCACAGTGAAACTTAAATTTTTAAAACCTGACATGTACTATTTAAGTGGTAACAAATAAGCACCCTGTTAATAAATGAAACATGACATAACCATTTTTTCCTCAGGTATAGAATGAGCCAAGGAGACTCAAACCCAGCAGCTATTCCACATGCAGCCGAAGATATTCAAGGAGATGACAGATGGATGTCTCAGGTAAAAGGAAGTGCATATATATTATTCACATGAGATGGGACTCTTCCAATTATTTTTTTTTAATTGTACTTTAGGTAAAGGTTTACAGAACAAGTATTTTCTCATTAAACAGTTAGTACACATATTGTTCTATGACATTGGTTAACAACTCCACGACATGTCAGCACGCTCCCTTCTCGGCCTTGGAGGATCTTTTTTTCTTTTTTTGGTGAAAACATACATAGCCAAAGATACACCATTTCAGAAATTTTTACATGTACAATTCAGTGACGTCGATTACGTTCTTCCAGTTGTGTTGCTATTCTCACTTTAGATGAAGGTTTATAGAACAAAATAGTTTCTCATTAAACAGTTAGTACACATATTGCCCTATGACAATGGTTAAGAACCCTACTGCATGTCAACACTGTCCCTTCTCAACCTTGGCGTTCCCTGTCATTTTTTAGCTTTTGTCTTTCCTGTCCCCTCCTGCCTTCCAGTCCTTGCCCCTGGACTGCTGTGCCTCATTAGTCCTGTTTTGTTTTATGGGGCTGTCTAATCCCCACCTGAATGGTTAACCTCGGGAGTGGGTTCACCACTGAGCTAAAAGGGTGTCTGGGGGCCATACTCTCAGGGTTTCTCCAGCTCTGTCCAGAACCCTCTGTTGTGATCCTGGTCAGAGCAGTCAGTGGTGGTAGCCGGGCACCATCTAGCTGTACTGGACTCAGTCCGGTGGAGGCCTTGGTAGCTGTGGTCCGTTAGTCCTTTGGACTAATCTTTTCCTTGTATCCTGTTCTCTTCATTCTCCCTTGGGGTCTCTTCAATTTTTGAAGACCTTCTGATTAAAGTTGCAAAGTAGTCAACAAGAATTTTTTACTGGAAATAAAAATCTAACATTAGAAATGTAGTGCCTACTCAGCAGTCTGATGTTGGGACCAAGGAATGTTTTGAAAGCATGGTAGTTGCCCTCTGTTAATCTTAAAAGGTTAACAATTTCTTTTCCATATTCTTTTGTCAAGTTTTTTCATTATGGAGTAATTTCAAATTTACACAAATGTTACAAAAAATTTTCAAAGAACTCTTCTTTCACCTAGACTCACTAATTGCTAGTGTTTTGCTACATTTGCCTAATTATCCTGTCTGTATATATTTGCGTATGTATATGCCAGCATGGACGTTTCTGATTAACATGCTCAGCTGCTATCTGAAATCCACACAGAGGCACCTCAGAAGAAAGGCCTGGCGATCCACTTCCAAAAAATCAGCCATTTAAAACCCTGTGGAGCACAGTCTACTCTGACACACCTGGGTCATGGGTTGGAATTGACTTGATGGCAACTGGAATATACCAACATACTGTTTTTTGTTTTTTTTTCTGAACCATTTGAGAGTAAGTTGCAGCCATCATGCCCCTTTACCTTTAAATATTTCAGTATGTTTTGTAAAAACAAGGATATTTTCTTCATGACTACGGTATAGTTATTAAAATCAGGAAATTTAACAATAATATAATACTGTTACCTAATTCAAAAACCATATTCAAATGTCTCCACCTGTCCCAATAATATTCTTTATAGCAGTTCTTTTCCCAGTCCAGGATCAGTTGTATTCAGTTGTTATGTCTCTTTATTCTCCTTTAATTTGAACCATTTTTTAGCTTTTGTCTTTCATGACATTGATGGTTTTGAATAGCAGAGGCCATTTATATTATAGAATGTCCAAAAGTTTGGGTTTGTCTTTTTCCTCATAATCAAGATTCAGATTATGCATTTTTGGCAGGAATGTTGATGAAGTTATGTGTCCTGATTGTATCACATACAAGGAACAGGATGTTGGTTTGTCTCATTGATATTAACTTTGATCATTTGGTTAAAGTGGTGTTGGCCTTAATCAGTTCTTATTATTTTGGACTCATGTCAGAAGAACTTTAAGTAGATGTAGAAAGAAGGAAGGAAAAGAAAAATCATTAGAACACAGAAATATTACTTTAGGCAAGATCCATTGATGGATGCTAAAATTAGTAGACACAACTTTAAGGAGAAGTGGTATTTGTCTAGCATCAAAATATCCACCTACATTATTGTGGTGGTTTTAACATAATGACTGTTGAGCAAGTAATACTTGTTGCCACCTCCAGAGGAGAAATCCAGTCACATGGAGGATAAACCCTCTTGCTGTCAAATCAGTTCCAATTCATGGGGACAGTATAGGACAGAGTAGAACTTAGAAGCTGAAGAAAATTAAAATGAGTCTACAAGAGCCAAAGTACAACCTTGAGTATATCCCACGTGAATTTAGAGACCATTTCGAGAACAGATTTGACGCATTGAACACTACTGACCGAAGACCAGATAAGTTGTGAGATGACATCAAGGACATCGTATATGAAGAAAGCAAAAGCAAAAGGTCATTAAAAAGACAGGAAAGAAAGAAAAGACCAAAATACATGGCAGAAACTTTGAAACTTCCTCTTGAACATAGACTGGCTAAAGCGAATAGAAGAATGATGAAGTAAAAGAGCTGAACAGAAGATTCAAAGGGCAGCCCAAGAAGACAAAGTATTGAAATGTGCAAAGACCTGGAGTTAGAAAACTAAAAGGGAAGAACACGTTTAGCATTTCTGAAGCTGAAGGAACTGAAGAAAAACTTCAAGCCTCAAGTTGCAATAATGAAGAATTCTATGGGCAAAATATCGAATGACGCAGGAAGCATCAAAAGAAGATAGAAGGAATACACAGAGTCACTGTATCAAAAAGAGTTAGTTGATGTTCAGCCATTTCCGGAGGTGGTATATGGTAAAGAACCGATGGTAGTGAAGGAAGAAGTCCAAACTGCGCTGAAGGCATTGGCGAAAAACAAGGCTCCAGGAATTGACAGAACACCAGTTGAGATGTTTCAGCAAACGGATGCGACACTGGGAGCGCCCACTTGTCTATGCCAAGAAACTTGGAAGACAGCTGCCTGGCCAACTGACTAGAAGAGATCCATATTTGTGCCTGTTGGAAAGAAAGGTGATCCAACAGAATGCGGAAATTATTGAACAATATCATTAACATCACACACAAGTAAAATTTTGCTGAAGATAATTCACAAGCGGTTGCAGCAATACATTGACAGGAACTGCCAGAAATTCAGGCTGGATTCAGAAGAGGATTTGGAATGAGGGATATGCTTGCTGATGTCAGATGAATCTTGGCTGAAAGCAGAGAATACCAGAAAGATGTTTATCTCTGTTTTATTGACTGTACAAAGGCATTCTACTGTGTGGATCATAGCAAATTATAGATAACATTGTGTGAAGAATGGGAACTCCAGAACACTTAATTGTGCTCACACGGAACCTGTACATAGACCAAGAGGCAGTTGTTCGAACAGAATAGGATGCTGCGTGGTTTAAAATCAGGAAAGGTGTGCCTCAGGATTGTATCCTTTCACCATATTTATTCAGTCTGTATGCTGAGCAATTTATCAGAGAAGCTGAACTCCATGAAGAAGAGCAGGGTGTCAGGACTGGAGCAATACTCATTAACAACTTGCAATATGCAGATGACACAGCCTTCCTTGCTGAAAGCAGAGAGAACTTGAAGCACTTACTGATGAAGACTACAGCCTTCAGCATAGATTACACCTCAACATAAAGAAAACAAAGATCTTCACATCTGGATCAATAAGCAATGTCATGATAAACATAGAAAATATTGAAGTTGTCAAGGATTTCATTTTACTTACATCTACAGTCATTACCTATGGAAGCAGCAGTCATGAAATCAAACGATGTACTACATTGGGCAAATGTGCTGCAAAAGACCTCTTTAAAGTGTTAAAAAGCAAAGATGTAACTTTGAGGACTAAGGTGTGCCACACCCAAGGAATGGTATTTTCAATCGCCTCATACACATATGAAAGCTAGACAGTTAATAAGACTGAATAAGAATTGATGCCTTTGGATTATGGTGTTGGCAAAGAATACTGAATATATGATAGACTGCCAGAAGAATGAACAAGTCTGTCTTGGAAGAAGTACAGCCAGAATGCTCCTTAGAAGGGAAAATGTTGAGACTTCGTCTTACATACTTTGGACATGTTATCAGGAGGGACCAGTCCCTGGAGACAGACATCATGCTTGGTAAAGCAGAGAGTCAGCAAAAAAGAGGAATGCCCTCCAGGAGATGGATTGACACAGTGGCTGCAACAATGGGCTGAAACGTAGCAACGATTGTGAGGATGGCATAGGACCGGGCAGTGTTTCGTTCTGTTGTACATAAGGTTGTTTTGAGTCAGAACTGACTTGATAACACCTAACAACAGAACTGCCCCATAAGGTTTCCAAGGCTGTCATCTTTTTTTTTTTTTTTAATTGTTGTTGAGAATATGCACAGCAAAACATTCACCAGTTCAGCAGTTTCTTTATGTAGCATTTAGTGACATGGATTATAGTCTTTGAGTTGTGCAACCACTCTCACCCTCCTTTTCTGAGTTTTCTCTCCCCCATTAACATAAATTCACTGCCCTCTAAGGTTCCTATCTAATCTTTTGAGTTGCTGTTGTCAGTTCGATCCCATATAGAAAATTCTTAAAAGAGCATACTGCTCAAGGCAGACATTTTTTACTAGTTAACCAAGGCTGTAATCTTTACAGAAGCCAACTTCCAATCTTTCTCCCACAGAGCAGCTGGTAGGTTCGAACCACTGACTTTGGTTAGCAGCTGAAAGTTTAACCCCTGCGCCACCAGGACTCATTACATGGAGGCTAATAACAGCTGAATGCAATCTGGTATCCTGGATTGGTTCTGGGAACAGAAAAGGACATTAGTTTAGTTAATAGTATTTACCAATGTTAATTTCTTAGTTTTGGTAAATGTACCATGTTTATGTAAGATGATGACTTACTGGAGGAAGCTGGGTAAAGGTTATATGGGAATGCACTGTACTATCTTTGCAACTTTTTGTAGATCTAAAATTATTTCTAAATAGTAAAAAAGGAGGCGAGGGGAATATACATTATAAAACAGTCATGATTAA